AAGGATGTGGAGAAGCTTGAGAGAGTCCAGAGGAGAGCCATGCACATTATCAGAGGGCAAGAGAATAGGCCCTATGAAGAAAGGCTGAGAGCCATGGGAATCTTCAGTCTGGAAAAGCACAGGCTCAGGGGGAACCTGGTGGCTGCCTATAAGTACACAAGGGGTGTTCATCAGGATCTGGGAGAACATCTGTTCACCAGAGCGCCCCAAGGAAAAACAAGGACCAACGGTCATAAACTCTTACAAGACCGTTTTAGGTTGGACATAAGAAATTTTTTTTTTACTGTCTGAGCCCCCAAGACCTGGAATAGACTCCCTCCAGATGTGGTGCAGGCATCTACTCTGGACTTATTCAAGAAATGCTTGGATGCTTATCTAGCTGCGGTTCTTTGACCCTAGCTGACTTCCTGCTCCTGAGTCAGAGGGCTGGACTCAATGATCTTCGAAGTCCCTTCCAGCCCTAACGTCTATGAAATCTATGAAATCATGAAGAAACAGGAATCACTAGACATGCAAAAGAAAGGTGCAGCTCAGCTGTGAGAGTGAAGAAGCTGAAATGTATTCAATGTGGTGGCTCACCATGACTGGAAAAAGAGTTGGTGCTTAAGGGGATGGCGCAATAGGTACTATCCACACATCTTATTCAGATAGGTTGTACTAACCTATCCTTGTGATAGGCTCCCAGGTATCTAGCAGGAGAACTAACATCTCCTCAACCTTGAGTGACTCAAGTGTTAAAGGTAGAGGCCTGTCTTTCTTGCAATGCTGGCAAGCTGACCCTGCAACAGTCTACAAATGACTCCAAATGTGAGGATCTCAGCTACACAATTTATGGTGATGGGGGACTGGTTTTGGGTGTTTCCTCTAGCTTGCTTCTTCAGCATTTTGACTAAGGACAAGCAAGACTAAGGGGCAGCTGAACTACAAGGCCTCCAGGCTTTGGGCTTGCCACATGGAATGCTTGCCATGGATTTTGGAGCATCTAAAGTCCAGACTGATGAGTCTGGGAGGTACGATATTTGCCTGTGTTAGTGTCACACAGACTTGAATGATCGGGCTCTTCTCAGTTGAAATTTGGAATTTAACTCAGAACTTATTTGGCCCGGGAAGAAAAATTTTACTAAAAAAAAATAATCAGTATGTTTGTCCAATGTGGGCCATGTGTTTTAAAGTCATGTTTGGTGTTGGCTGCATTTAAGCAACTTCATAGTTGATTTCCATTAGTGAGTACATGCTGCTCTTGGCAGCAGTTTAATGATAGCCAATGTATTTAATGAGGTTTCCTTGTCTGTGAAAGTAACATGAGAGGCTTTTTTCCCCCATGCTGATTGGAAAAAACATTTTGCATTTGTGTAAATATGGTACTAGCTATACATTTAATTTCTACACAACAGTTTGGAATGATTAGATGTGCTCACATACCTCCACACACCCACGTTATAGATAGAATGATATGTATCTCTTTAAAGGAAAACTGTAAACATGTTTCTCAGCCAAAGAGAGTTCAAAAGGTAAGTTCAAAAGTATTTTCAATTTCTATGTAAACATACAGTGAAAGGCGTTTCAAAGAAAGGGACCAAATTCAATCTTAGTGGCCCACAAAGGGCTTCAACCAAGTTATATTAAGGGAATTTGATCCTAATGTTAAATTACACATCCTATTTCAAAACCTCCTACTGTTAACAATGATTTGCTAAAAAATTATATAATTTGTGACACTAGCAGAAATAAATCTGTCAGATATTTTTAGTTATTTAGTTCTTTTCTATCTTGCATCAATACTGGTTTAACTAATCA